CTGAAAAACTCGGCTTATACTTGAGTATATACGGTAATCCTTCCTCTTCCATTTTGAGCCATAGAAATTTACCCACCAGCCATGCAGAGGCAGGAGTTCCATGATGAGAGATAATTTTATCTGAATTTTATTATGGTGACACAGTAGCTTTCTCATTTTAGGTCACATGAGTGAAAGTGAGAAAAATAACCTACACAGAAGACCTTGCATTCTTTGAAAAGAGGACTAGGCAGGCCAAAGGTAGATATTTCATCTCAAAATGCTTGGTAGTGTTAAAGCAGCAGCCCTGGCCTTTATGTGGGGAGAAGGCCACTTTCTGTGACATCCGACAACTCAACTCTGCTGGGATCCTGCTGGCCAATTTAATCTCCATTGACAGGGAGAACATGAATATCCCAGAGGAGCAAAAAAGGGAAAATCTTAACAACAATAATTGATTCAAGTGACAACTTCCATCAGTTGCTTTCCTTCCTCCCCCCCTCGTTTCTTGGTGCTACTTGAAAATCCCGACTCTCTTTCAAAGGAATTTTAAAATATGTTAATTTTGTTAACAAAAGAAGCCTTGGTTTTAAACATTGTCATATAAAATTATATCACCAAATCCCTTTGCTAAAGTAATGCCAAGGGGAAAAAAAATCCCATCTCCTCTCAAACTTGGGGCTTGAATAACTTTAATTAAATATTATTAGAAATATAAAACTTTAAAAATATATCCCGCAGTTTAAATGTTCCAGATAAAGGATTTTTCCAATGGTGTGAAACCAAAGAAAGGATTGTATATATCCTTATATGAGAGAAAAACATCATATCAAGAAGACTCTCAAGATAAGTAATATTAAAAATTGCTTGTCATATTGTGTACACAAACACTGTTTGTCCTTTCATACAAGCAATGTAATCATGAAGTTTGATCAACATATCTAGGACTGATTTGTGTAACTATTGGTCTGAAATACATGATCAGCTATCCCTTTTAAACATTTTCATTTCATTTTTTATATGAACATTTAATCACAATATAGTGATGACTTAATCTGCTGTGGAAAGCTGTCTTAAAAATTAGTTACAGTAAAACAGTAAACTTGAAAACAAAGGCTGCTTAGTAAGTCTCAAACATCTGGAGCAACGATAGATTAACAGCAGCCAACAAATGGGTTCCATAATATCCAGGAGTTGAGGTCAAGACAAATGAATCCATTGTGCTGGCTTCAGAAGCTTGCCTTCTACTCTTCTCCAATCAAAACACAGTTAAACAGCAATTTCAAAAAAAAAGCAGCTTAGTGAAATATTATTTCTCTGTTTCTTTGTTAACAAATGGAAATTGTTGCATTATGCTGAAGTATTTTTTTTAAAGGACACTACTCTTATAAATCATTGTTGAAGTGTTTTCCTCTTCTTTTGCATCAATGTATTTATTTAATATGTGTGGTAGAAACAATGTGGTATGGAAACATAGTTAAAACAATCAAGCTTGGCTTCCTTTAAATAAATGTATTGTCGCCACCCCCTTACACATCTGTTTTATTTGGCACTTGCAATCATTAAAAAGGCTCTAGGAAAGCTTTTTTGTCTATTATAAAGTGAAAACCAGAAATGCATGTATTCCCATTCAACTATCACAAACGTTTCCACAAAATCTGCTGGTTTGTGGTTTACTCTATATATTTTAAACATCTTAGCTATTCTTTAAATTTGACATGAAGAAAAAAAAGAACATTAAATATATTTATTTGTTTGTCCTGCACATCCCGTCAGTGTTGGAGCTTAGTATTTTCTGCAAAAGGGGATTGAATTGAACAGCTGCCTCCAAATAGCTTATTACTTACTTATACTAAAGAGGACTCAGATGATACTATGTTTCCCCGAAAACAAGACAGGGTCTTATTTTATTTTGACCCCCGAAACAAGCCCTTGACCTTATTTTCAGGAAGGTCTTATTATTTTTGAGGTGCAGGAGGCGGCAAACGTGGTCACCTCATGGTTGCTGCTGCGTTGCAATATTTTTGAGGACGGTTTATTTTCGGAGGAGGGCTTATTTTAGCGCATGCGCTCAAAAGCCCGATTGGGCCTATTACCCAGGGAGATCTTATTTTGGGGAAAACAGGGAAAAGAGTAAAGATTAGAGAACAACTATTCCAAATAAAATATCAGTATAAATATTTATATCATCTGCCTATCCTAGATCCTTGGGAAGGACTTGATAGGCTGAAAAAATTGCCAAATCCAGTCTGAAGATCTGACTGACTGTATGACAAACTTTTATATCAAAAGGGCGTGATATTTAGATTAATGTTGATGATAGTGTAATCATCTGTGTGTGGGGTTTTTTTTTTGGGGGGGGGAGGGAATTCTCCAAAATATAGTTATACCTTAAGACACGTTTCTTTATACTGTTGCTTAGCTAGCTGGTAGCACTGAATTATGTCTGCTATCCTCTTCCAGGGGGAACTTCTGTGAGGCAACACAGAACATTGGGAAAATTGACTTCAGAGTATTCCTTAATCCCATCTAGATAGAAAGAATTCCACAACATGTAAAATGTTATAGGCACGAGGGTTTTGGTGAGAAAACTGGAATGTTTATCATAGAGCAGGGGTGTCAAGGGCGATCTGGCCGGCGTGTCTGGCCTGGAAATAGCAAAGGACTGGCCCGTGGTGCCTCTGCCAGTGAAAATGGAGTTCATGGGGGGGGGGGGGCATTGAGCTCTGTTTTCGCTAGTAGAGGCACCATGAGCCAGTCCTTTGCTATTTCCAGGCAAGATACGCCAGCCAGATCTAAGCATCTATTTCCCCTTTTGCATTTAAGCATGCAAGAAGGGACAGGAAAGAAGAAAGGGAAAGAGGAAAGACAAAGAAAAAGAAGGAAAGATGGGAAGATTGCAAGGAAGGAAAAATAAGGAAAGGGGAAATAAGAAGAAAGAGAATAAAGAGGAAAGAAAAAAGAAAGGAAGGAAGGAAGAAAGGAAATTATAATGAGAGTGTGGGAGGGTCTCAGGAACGCCTTAGTACTTGGCCACCACAGGTAAGAAGATAGGAAAGTCCATAATTGGGGAATATCTATCATCACACGACAATTGCAGGTTAGTATTTGGTACCTGTTAAAACCTGTGATTTTTTAAATTAATCCAGTTAAAATCCAGTTTTACTAAGTGATTGATTTAATAGACTGCCCTTTACTTTCCATAAGAAAAAAGATGTTAGAGTGTTCCAGTTTAATATGTCTTTCTCAGCTTTTCCTTCCTACGATATTAACCTATTTTGTATTCTAATTGATACATTGCCCTGGTGTTATTTTGTGATGAAATATAGAGTGATAAAGACAGGGATAGTCATGCACACATGAACAAACAACTCTACAGCGTCTACTGAAAAACTGAATTATGTAAGTGGAAAGGGGAGGAGTTTTGAAATCTCAAGTGGGAAATATCCTAAAAAGGCATTAGCAATAAAAGCAATCTCCAACTGCCAAATAACCCAAAACAGATATCTCATAATAAATCGTTTTTATGGTTAAATATATCATAGACAAAATTATTTTGACAAGAATCCTCAGTTGAGCTTAGCTGGCCACGCCCACACCAGCCCCCTGAGGTCAAACACAACCTAATGTGGCCCCCAATGAAATCGAGTTTGACACTCCTGCCATAGACATCATAAGCCAAGATCATCTTTTATTCCTTCATTTTTTTTATTCCTCACCAGGCAAAGAACTTTTATTGTTAGTATACAGTAGAGACATCTGTAAGAAGTTGCAATGACATTAAATTATGTGTACTGTTCATAAAAATGTTATCCCACAAATGGCACAATAATGTACTCATGATGTTTGACCTAAATAAGTAAATTACCAAGGTGTCTGAGAAAAGCTCTTATTTACAAGCCACAAGCAGTGGCAATTTGAACTGAATGAAGATACGCAGTACATTGTTTAAGTAAAAAGAGAAGTCAAGAAGGGAATGCTTAGAACAGTCTTACTATAGTGAGAAAAAAATAAATAAAAGGTAGGGAAATATGCTGGGTGAATAAAGATGATGAAAAGTTGAATTTTTAAAAACATGAGAGATAACAGAATCTCTGACAGCAACTGAATGCTAAAAATATTCTGGATGTTAATTTCCAAGAGAAGCTGTGTTGCTTCTGGAAGAGAAGTCAGTAACTTCTACTTATGAGAAATATACTGGGCTTCTCTAAGAATATTTAGTAAGTCTTAATTATAGACTAAAATAGATAATTGTCTGCCTTGTGTATCATGTTACTTCAAAAAAGCAAGCCATCAACCATGATTCACAAACCACAAAAGTTAAACCAAGCAACTGCATTGTTGTTTAGTGTTATGAGAGACCCCAGCTACAATGTGTTACACATACAACAGGACTAAGAAGATCACCATTACCAGTACTTTAAATAATTCTATAATACAATAGTATACATATAGTAAACTATTAAAAAAGGTCATACAGATACCAAGAGGCAATGGTAAGCATTTTCTAGTGCTGCTCCAGGCAACTGCAATCAAAAATTACCAACATTATGGTAATATGTTCAAAATTTCATAGTAGAGTTGATTTGGGCTGATTTTGAGTATCTTCACAATACAAACCACACAGTGTAAGAGTTGTCTATGGACATCTAGGCAATTGAGCACCATAAACTAATATGAGAGCAGAATCCCAGTGCAGACTGCCATCAACAGGCAAGTCAACCGAAAGCAAAAATTCATACCCTCTAAAAAGTTTTTAACTCATTATCAATTTTAAAAAAAGATACACAAAAAAAGCTGCTTCTTACTTTGGTTGTTGAGGCTGCAGAATTACTGGCTGCAAGGGTAGTTATCACATCGCTGTTCACAGTAGTGCAAACCCCTGTGGCCGGTGCATGCAATCTGGATTGGACAATTGGTACAGGCAGAAGACCTGGCCTATTGTTGCTATTGCTGTTCACTGTGCTGTTACAGTTACTGTTGCTGTTCACATGATTCCCATTGGCATTCCACTCCCGCCGATCCCATCCTGTGCGATAATCTCTTTCAAACCGGCTGTGGTGCCGTGACATCTCGGCAAAACCAGCAATTGCCGTTTCTCACCGGGATTTTATCAGATTGCCTATCGAGAACCAAAGCAAAAAAACAAAGAGAAGTTAATAATTTAAACCTCAGGAGAAAACACACACACACAAACACAAACATACACACACAGACCACAAACATGCCACTAGAGGCAATTTCCTTGTTTTAATTCTTTGATTGGCAAATGAAGTTAACCCGTGCTTGGACACTCCAAGCAGCGCCTAGGAGAATGGCCTCTAACACATAGAGGAGGTACCACAATAACCCGGGGAGTCAAACCAGAGACAGGCTACAATGAAACACCAGATCACATAAATTGCCATTTCAGCTCTCAGTGACAGATTAGTTTCTGAAAGCAGGATTATGTTTCACTTTCCCTCCCCAAATACCCGTTTTGGGTCCTGTATCACACAACCCCTCCGCTCCATGTTATATGGTTCTTTGAAAACACTGCATAGGAAAGATGAGTAGAAAGTGGATTTGCTATGGAAAATTATTTAGTTTTAACATATAAAAGGAGTAAGGTGCACAAAGAACAGTGCCGTAGAGTTTTAGAGTATGACAGGATTTCTAAAGGCAGATAAATGCTTTTGATTTAATTACTATTTTTCTATACAAATTGCTTCCAATTATAATATTTTTTGGGGGGATTTAGGTATTAGGAAGACAAGGCACTCTATGTTAAATGTCAACATCCTTGAGAAAAGTATTTAATTTTTTTTTTTTTTAAAGAGCTTCCTAGAATGTCCAACAAACATAATTTGATACAGAATCCCAAACTGGAAATACATCCAGTATAATGATTTGCCCTTCAAAATTCCTAAAGGTCAACTCCGTTTCTTGGAGAATCAATTTCTTATCTGCCAAACTGCTAAACTCCCCTATTAATTTCTCTGTTCTATTTTGTAAAGTAATAATATTGTTTTTACAATCTGCTAATTCAAATTTGCAGGAGGATGTAATTCGTGACTACAGATTAAACAGAACACTCAAAGTCAACAACAACAAAAATCTTATTTTTAATGCATTTTTTAAAGAAACAAAAAAAACAAACTGCAGTAATTCCCTCCTCTTTAATACAAAGAATGTCAGTCAGAAAATGGGGAAATTTATTTATAAATTTGTAGGACATATGATTCCACTGTGAATCTGGACAGCATATAATATCAATTTAAAACAATGCAATACAGAACAATATAAAAAAAATCAAACGAGAGAAAAATGCCATAACCTCTAAACATCGCACACTCCATTCTAGCCCAAAGACTGGGGATAGAGTCAAATTTTAAGGGGTTATTTCAATAAAGCCAGAGTGAGGGCTGAATAGATCTATGGGGGAAGCTGTTTCAGAAGGGAGATGCTACAATATTCAAGGTCTAGTTATTGAATCCCATGAAATGATACTGCTTAATCAACAGAACTTTGGTGCCATTTGGACAATGATGGCTAACCTTTTCCAGACCGAATGCTCAAAGCGCGCACATGCCCGAACCCCAAAAATCCAGTGCGCGCCTCAACCCCCAAAATCCAATGCCCACACGACCCACATGCATGTGCTCCACCCCCTGCATGCGCCCTCCCCCAATGTGCCACCCATGCATTCATGTGCGGGGACTCAATGTCCAACTGGCCAGCAGGAGAGGCTCATGCTTGTGTGGTGGAGCTGAACTGTGGCAACGGCTTGTGTGACTACAGAGAAGGCGCTGCGTGCCACCTATAGCCCGTGTGCCATAGTTTCGCCATCACGGGCATAGGACATATATGCCATACAGTACAGGTAGATACAGACAGTTCCTTAAGAAAGAAAGACTATTTGTTCTTTTTTCCTGCCTTGTCCTTTGTCGTTTTTGTCCTTTTTTTTGTTCTTTTTTTTTTTTTTTTTGCCTTTTCTTTTTGATTTTCTCTTTTCCCACTGGTGTGGGCAGGTATTGTTTAAGATTATTACTT